ATGACATCAGCATGAACCCATAGCATGAACTTATCCAATACAGTAGGGGCTTTATCATTAGATAGCTTTAAACAATGTCTAGAGTTAGATGTTCAAGGGTTAGGTGTAACAAGTTGATCTGTGTAATGTAGCCTGAGCTGCTGCCGCACCGCGTGCCTGCCAAGCTGGTGTGTTACGCCAAAGGTATACAGGTACAGATGATTTAATTCCATTGGGTGTGTTGCCATGATTATACAAAGAGTTCCAATAAATTTACTCATACCCAAAAAACTTCTATGAAGTCTGAAATGTGTGCTTTCTTGTTTAGTTTGTGAGCAGTCCGCTGTGTTGTCCCAGTCGCTCCAGTATCCTGACTGGTAAGTACGTGCACAACCACTGGGCCGTTAACAACTCCGTAGATGGGGACTGTTCCAGTAAGGCATGGCAGGATGGACCAGAGAAAAGCACCTTCGCCACACAGGTGAAGACAGCTGGATACAGGACCTTCTTTGCTGGGAAATATCTCAATCAGGTATGGTGATATGGACATACTTGCAGATACAGGCCTCGAAATTAACTTTTCTTCCTATTGTCCCAACACTGTCCCAAAAATAAATTTCAATTGTCCCAAAGTGAGGATGAACTGTCCCAGCCTGTTTTTTGGGGAAGTAATTGTATGACTTCAACTTGAATTCAAGCTTCTGTTTACTCCCAGGCACACTATAATTGCAGAGTAGACAGGAAATTTGGGGGGACTTTTCCGGATCCAAAATCCGGGGCATGTACATGTGCCTGATAAACAAAAGAAGGGCTGACATTCTGATGTTGATTATTTTTCTATTGTCCCCCAATTGTTCCAAAAGAGTCTTTTTGTGGCCTAGTCTATATTTAAATTTTAAGTGGTCAGTGGCCATTGGACCACCTTTAGTTTCGAGCCCTGAGACAGCATTAAAAATATGATGACTTGTGCAGGCGACCTCAATTTGCAAGTTTCCTCCACTTCCTCTTGTTGCTAGCAAGGTCAGAGATCTGTTTCACCAAGAGTTTATCTGTTGTAATCTCCCAGAAGCTGTTGTATGTACTATAAATAGAAAGTTCTCGTCTGTGTCTGCTGAGAGCATACATTAGGTTTATACATACAACCTTAGGTTTCTTCTTCTTCTTGGCTTGGCTTCGTTGTCCGAAGATTAGCTTTAGGTTTATCCTCAGGTTTAACCTTAGGTTTATCCTCAGGCATATATACAGAGAACATGTCCTAGAAAATTCAGCTGTCTGACTCAATATCTAATACACTGTATTAATGTGACTGTAAGTTCAATTTTTTAATTTCTTTATATTGTCCAACAGTATTATAAATACAACATTAAACTTGACGTGTACAAAATAGCAACAGAAAAAAAAACAGAAAGCAAACAATCTTTCAATGTTTCGCTTTTCCACAGTATGGGTTCCCATCCACAGGAGGTCCTGCACACATCCCCCCAGGCTGGGACTGGTGGATTGGACTGGTACTGCAGCAGCCTCATGTATTCTGTAGTATAAGGCCAATCCAATTTGTTGGTTCTGTGACATTTTCATGTAAAATTTTATCTAGTGTCCCTTTTAGTCTATTACTTTTTTTTATTAATTTGATGCAAGTAGATCTAACATAATACATTTGGAGTGACCTGCAAAAAAGGATACCTTGATTGTAAAGATTATTATCAAATCACTATGAAAGTAAGTAATAAATTGTAATGTAGAAATTGTAGACCCTTTAATGGCATTCTCCCACTCATTTATCACATAGTATCATTGGTTGTATCAATTTTATTAAAAACCAATTCTTCTATTAAGGAATGTTTGCAGTGTTCAAAATCAGCTGTTACTATTACACAATGTATAATTACACACTAGCTTGTAGAAGGTCTGGTATTCTCATTATGCTCTCTACTTATTACTATAAATATTCTCATTGTTTTTTTCCCTCTCTCTGAAGATAGGGAACTCCCGTTACTATGACTACTCCCTGTCTGTCAACGGCACCAAGCAGAAACATGGGAAACAATACAGCAAGGATTACCTGACTGATGTCATAGTAAGATCACTGCAACATACATGTACCTGTGTCCAGCATGTTGGTAGAACACACTGTGCCTGTGTGAATCCCCTAATGTATTGTGCATAGAACTTCAGCAGAATGTCTCATTTGAGGTCGTATCCATGTATGTAATGATGACATTCTGTCTTAGTTTTCAAATGTTGTGCCAGAGAAGATATCATTTGCAACAGTGAAAATTCTGAAGCAACATTGACCAAACATCCAACAAAAACTGCGAAAATCCAGGATTCACACAGGCACAGTACAATCTGCTGATGTATGCAACATACCACAATAGAGCTGTTACATTCTGTAAAAACAAGTACAATGTACATGTATGACTCACAAGGTTTGAACTAGCTTGTTACATGATATATCATTATATGTACAGTATGACTATAGATTTGCCTCCAGTAATGTTTTTTTACCTTCACACAACTCCATATCAAGTAAAATTTGGTACAAATCAGAACCTCTCATAATGTTCCCCTGGAGAAGGAGACAGATAGTCATCCAAACATGAATTGTAAAAATCCACTGGTTTTTGAACAAAGACTCAGTTTCTTGCCAACCTAATGAAATAATTTGTTTCATAGACTACAATTCATTTGCAATTTATGAAAGTAAATGAAATGATAGTGGATGATCAAGTTTTATTTAAGAATTTTTTTTGATTTCTAGAAAAATCAGTCTCTGCATTTCCTGGATACAGTTGGAGCGACACCGGACCCTTTCTTCATGATGCTGTCCACTCCTGCTGCACACTCTCCCTTTGACTCTGCTCCACAGTATGAACAAGACTTTGTGGACTGGAAGGCACCACGTGGAGGAAGCTATAACGTCCATGGAAAGGTACAAATGTAAATATGATACAAGAAATTGATTACATCTGTAGAATTTTTTCATCAGCTAGTACATGTAAAAAGTACTTGAGATTGGAATCTTCAGCTATGCATGTTATAATATATACATAATCAGAAATGCTGCTTGAATTATTCTCAATTAATTGTAACTGGAAAGTAACTTAACTGTTACAAGTAGTTTACAAATGACAGGAAATGAAATGATATACTGAAAACCACATGTACATGTAATAGGTATTAACTTAAACTTTATCATTAGGCCACACCAATTTAATTTCTTGGTTAACGGATTCGCCGCTTCATTTTTTTCTGATTTGCAAATAAAAATAAAAATTCAGAATCAACTGCAAAATGCTCATACTTTGCCCTGAACAGTTGAAAACAGTCCTTTTCTTACTTCTTGTTACAGTCATTCCATATTTCAATGCAATGGTATCATGAAAGTTCTAAATTCATTGTTTAAATTTTGAACCAGCCTGGTGTGTTGACTTTATGGCTCCTATCGTACCATTTTGGGCCATAATAGGATGCGTAGGCCTGTTTTTATTTTTATTTTTTTTTCGCCCGCCCGCTCCATTATTTTTCTAGAAAAATCCGTTAACCAAGAAATTAAATTGGTGTGGCCTTAAGGAGGTTTCTAAAGAATACTGTTACAGTAGTTTTCTACTATTATAGGGGATAAAGTCTATATAATTTGTAATGTATGATAAAAATCTTGTATGAAAAGAAGGTTTTGTTTTCATTCAGGACAAGCATTGGTTATTGAGGTTTGCACCAAGTCCTATGAAGGAGACATCTGTACAATGGGCAGACAACATCTTTAGAAAAAGGTACTTTAAGTAATAATTCTCTTTTTTACTTACTTCAGTACATGTAGCATCAAAGATCTCTGTCTGATCAGTAATTCTAATTTTCCCTTGTGAAAATCATATTTGTTTAAAAATTCCTTGTCAAGTTTCTTTTGGTTGATAACAATGTATGGTACATGCAAGAATGTTAACAGGTACATGTAGAAGGTTGACAATGTGTAACACAGTTTCTCAGTCACCAATGATGAAAGATAGTGTCTGCAATCTAAAATGTCTGAGTCTTCAAGGAATCTATCCAGCTGCTTAGGAAAGCTTGGCACAAACAAAGGAGTTTGAAAGTCTAATAATTATATTTCACTCCATACCATGGTATGGATGAAATATATTAATTTTTGTTTGTCCTGATGTTTTATTTATTCATTTGACTGAAACATAAAGCTGTAAAACTAGCCTGTTGTAAAGGGTCAACCTTTGGGGAATACAGAGGTGGGATATACATTATTTTGTATTACATCAAGTATTGAATATCCCGGCCTGTCTTGAATGTTTTTCTCTAGAATGAGGACCCTCTTGTCAGTAGAGGACCTGGTCCAGGCAGTGATGTCAAAACTAGAGGACAAAGATCTTCTTAGCAACACCTATGTCATCTTCTCTTCAGACAATGGATACCACTATGGTGAGATTTGCTTTTCATAAGTAAATTGAATCACATAAAGTAAGTCACTTACATCATGAGAGACAGCACAGTAAAATTTCCACAGATCTGAAAAACAACTATTTACATTTCAAAATGTTGTATTTGTATTAAATTTTACATTACATGAATTTTATTTTTAAATGTTTAAACATACATGTAATTTATAGTCTTTTATATGAAGCTACATCTGTGGGTGGATTGGATGTTTTTCTGCAGGTCAGTTCTCCCTACCAGAAGACAAGCGTCAGTTGTATGAGTTTGACATCAGAGTGCCCCTCATGGTCAGGGGACCTGGCATCAAGTCTGGACAAACTATCACCGTAAGCAAAGAAAAGCTCTCTAAACATCTGATAAATTTCATTTGTTTGCATGGATAGCATATGCCTGGCCAATTTGATACTGTCTTTTTGCCACCGAGAGGGATCTGCTTGGAGATTAAGCATACTCCCATGGCATCTAGCAAATCAGGACAACTCTGGACCATGTTTTTAGACATTGTGTTGTCAAGGGGATGCCTAACTCTATCCTCAGTTCTAACCTTAATTCTAACTCAAACCTAATCCCTAATTCTATCCCTAGCCATAACACTAGCACTAATTCTAACTCAAACCATAACTGCATGTATAACTCAAGTTGTCAAATGCATGATGTCCAAAGTTGTCAAGTTGTTCCTATAGTAATAACAGGTGGCGTCTGTGTGGTGTATTCGTAGTGGATAGAGTGCCCGACTGTCAAGCAAGAAGACCCAGGGTTGGACCCAGACATGTCCGGACATACACCCAGATCTTGTGCCTTGGGAAAGGCACTTTACACGTATTTCCCCCCTCAGTTAGAGGGATCCCGGGCCCTACTAGGGTTTGGGTTGGCGTTAGGAAGAGCATCCAGCCGTAAAAATCTTGCTTAAAAAAAAAGACTTGTACCTGGTGCAAGCACGTCTAACCCCCGGTTGGGGAAAAATGACGTTAAATTCGGTTTTAAAAAAATAGAGCTGAGAACCAATTGATCACATTTTTGTGGCTGAATAATCCATGATGTGTCCTGCAGGCTCCAGTGATGAACATTGACTTGATGCCAACTATAATCGAGATGGCCCGAGGTAAAACACCGCTGGACGTAGATGGAAGATCCCTCATGCCTCTTCTGGTAGGGAAATCTTTAACGATACAGTCAAACCTGTATAATTAGTGACCACCTCTATACATAATGACCACCTGGTCAATGAGGCCACTTTTTGGTGGTCCCTTAGATAATTTTTCCCATTGACACAAGCACTTAAGGATTATGTCTACAATCATTATGATAACTTACATGTAACATAAACAAGAGTTTTCTGGTCCCCTGAATTGTCTTCTTCGGCAGGTTTGACTGTACATTATAAGTACAACAAGTATATACAGTAAGTATTTTCAATGAGATGCTATTGAAGAAATGTCTCACGTTTCAAGTGAGATAAAATTGTCCTGTATCTTATGCATATTTGCCTTTTATAATAACCAAATGCGTAGAAATGAAATACATGTACAGTTGCACAGTTACTATCGAATGATAGTCCTGTATCTTATGCATATTTGCCTTTTATAATAACCAAATGCGTATAAATGAAATACATGTACAGTTACACAGTTACTATGATGTTGTGTCAATAATGTTAAGGAAAAGATGTAGAGGGAAATGACTGGCATTTGCTTGCCAATATCAGCTGTTAATATGGTTGGTATTTTGTACCCATACAGCTGAGCACACAGGTAGAGACAGGTGCCCCTAGCTGGAGGTTGGACCTGTTAGTAGAACACCAGGGAGAGTGGGCTCTCCATGCCTGGCCCAAGTACAACTGTCCTCACTGGTGGACCCTAGTTACTGTAAGTTACACCTTCAAATTTCAAGTAGCCTACAGTGAAGGCCCCTAAGTTGTTAACAGTTGATGTCTAGATGCATGTCCAGACATGTTTTGTTCATATATCAGGGGCCTTCAACTTAAATATATTAGTAAACCCACAATGTACAAATAATATATAAGAATGTTCTTTATTCAGTAACAAGTGGGTTTAACATCCAACGTTTTGATGACTGTCTGTCATTTTCTTCAAGGCAGCTAGTACTGCAGCTAGGTATCACTTCTGCTCATTGTTACAAAATTATTACAGTCCCAAACATAGAATGTTGGCACATAATATACGTCATGCATAAATAGAATACATATACTGTGCTTGACAAATGTGTTATTATGTGGAAACACTATCATTGGGACCGCATTTGTAATACTGCAGCAGTGATACCTACCTGCAGTACAAGTCGGAACCACTCTAGAGTCATTGTTGCCCTGCCTGAAGAAGGTGACAGACGGTCAAGGAAAAGTGGATGACCACAGGATGATGAATACAGACTTGAACTTTCTTATAAAGGCTCTTGCCAACTTGATTGCCCACAAAATGCATCACACTGCACAAATTGAGCAATTCAAACTGTGAACCAGCAATATTGTGTTGAACTGTGCATTCCTACAGGGTTGTGTGCCTGACTGTGTGTGTGAGGATTCCTACAACAACACCTACAGCTGTGTCAGGACACTGAGCAGCAGGGCAGACCTCATGTACTGTGAGTTCCAGGATAATGAGGTACATGTATACACAAACAAACACATTGAAAACAAAACCTCCATACACGGAGGTAACAAGAGGAAACGCTGGATGTCTCTAGCTAGTCCTATTATGGACTAGCTAGAGACATCCAGTGTTTCCTCTTGTTTTCTCCGTGCACATGTATGGAGGTTTTGTTTTCAATGTGTCTGTATGTCTACTTGTTTTTACATTATTGAGTTGTTAGGAAGGTACAGGTACTGACAGAAAGTTATGCAAAGATCCTCGACAGCTATCTCATTTTCTCTCTACAATATGCATGCCAGTCAGAAAAGGCATATTAGGCAGAATCACCAAGAAATTCACAATTAAAACAAGAAATTCACAAATAGTCTGAATATTTCAAGGGAGAAAGAGATATTTTTTGGCACAATTTTTACATTGTACTCAAAAAGAGGTCTAATCATCATACATTGTGTATAATATAGTTATCATTAGATGTACTAGATTGTATGTTTTTCATACACATGCCATATATATGGAATACTGAAAGAATTCTGTAGTGTGACTGCAAAAGGAAAGGCAAGAAAAAGTAGATTATCTGTTGGGACCCTTTCAGTTTTTCTTTCCTAATGCATCTAATCAGCATATGCTCACCAACAGTTACATGTTTGTTTTTTTCTTTCTCAGAATTTCAAGGAGTTTTACAACCTAGAGAAAGACCCTCACCAACTTAACAATGCAATCAACACGACTGATCCGAACGTTGTGAAGTTCATGAGTAAGAGACTGAAGGAGCTGGTGACATGTTCCGGGAAAACCTGCAATAGAAGTGAGCAGATACTGGTGACATGAGCTTAAGCGATATACAAGATGTGTAAGTTTGGTCACTTTAACGTAGTTATGTTATGTTATGTTATGTTATGTTATGTTATGTTATGTTATGTTATGTTATGTTATGTTATGTTATGTTATGTTATGTTATGTTATGTTATGTTATGTTATGTTATGTTATGTTATGTTATGTTATGTTATGTTATTGTCAAAACCATGCTGGATACATGAACAAACGTGTTTTGTTTATATCCAAGGGGTCATCTTCTTGAAATGACACATAATATGTATTTTGTGTATTATTATGCTTCATGTGCAATACAAGGGATATTTTGTTCTGACTTGCTATAATTACAGCAGCTGCTACTTAAGCCAAAGGCTGATAGAAGGCTTTTTTATAATGATAACTTTACCAAAATATGAATGAACTATATTGTTCAACAGTTGTCAAAGGTACAAGGTACTTGATGAGTATACATTGAATACAGCATTATCAGGTTTGCAATTTCCATGGCATGCAAATTGTATGTGGAACTATGCAATTGTACACCATCTGTGCCTCTTTAATAATATTGCAGAGAATATACAGTAGTTGTGCCAACATTGTTAGGATACAAGAAATCAAATGCAATAAAACTAGTAGACAATCCTAGGTGTAAAAATTGATGGTGACAGTTAATTGTTTTTCCTGATACACAAAGTATTTAAGTGAGATGCTACTATTGCCTGTAGGACAAAATGTAGCAACTGCATTGTGCTTAATTTTTTTTTCTAACCTTTCTATAAGGTTGTTTTAGTTTGGCAGCTGTGTAGTAAAAACTTCATGGAAAACTAAGTTACTTCTGTTTCATTTCTCAATCTACAGTTTGACCACAACTGCACAAATATATTGTGGTAAACTGTAAGTGTAACGTCTTTTTTTCCTTGTCCCCCGAGGCAAGGGTGCATGTACAGACTGACAGCGCCCCCTATAGACTTATAGGAGAAGAACAGTCCTGTCCGGCCTTGGCCCTTTCACAATTTGTCCTCTATCAGTCTATGATGTTCTTTACATCGCACGTCCTAAATCACGAATTAGTGTGAATTATCTGTCATATTTCCCAACAAAATTATGCCTTTTCTTATACACAGTTTCTATGAACGCAATAATGTAAAATTTAAAAAAAATGTATTTATACAAGAGCACATAATTTTGACTTTTAAGAGGTTTCTGTGATACAAACAGAACAGTGAGGTTAAACCAATGCACATAACCTGTTAGATCGGGTGTACGTAAGAGATAAATAATACATAAAGAGAGTAAAAATGACGTGCTTAATAATTAATAGTGTAAAGATTTATCTAGGTCAAATCTACGTACACATGCCAGCCAAACAGCCTACAACAGTTCTATGTAGAAGAGGATAGACTTATCCCGATAGAAGAGGAATTCAATGCAACAATGCATGTGCACTATGTACCTCTAGTTTGAAGGGCAAATGGTGTGAAACGTGGCATTCTGCACTCACATTGTTAATTCAGTGTTATAACTGTAAAGTGTCAAAGGGTACCTGTGTACGTGTACAGTAACGATATTTAATGGTGCCATTTCAAACATTCGTCACCTTTGGCACTACGGCGTTACAAAGTCACAAAGATGGTACCATTAGGTCAAGGTGACAGCAAATAGTCATAGAAAACGTCACACACTCTTGATGACTTGATCCTCCTTTAACTTAAGTGCCTTTCTGGCAAAGACAGCTGCATACCTAAAAGTGCAGATCCATAAATGTGATCTCGGAGACTTAGGTCATCCCAACGAAATCTCTGACGCTTTCTCCGAGTTGGTTATCGTTAGATACGATACACCTTCCTCGCATGCAGATTGGGTCCTTCAATTACTTGCCACGACCCCATGACAGGGATAAGTTTGCTTTCACCAGATAAAGTGTGATGTATTGATTGTCAATCTGCGATCGCCACGCCATTTTATCTCATAGCTTCCACCATTCGTCACCATTGACACAAAGTCATTGGATGAGTAACGATTTCGAAGATACAATTCACAACGGGTCTAATCATATCCGCATATAGCTGATCTTTTTTCACAGGGGACAGTATCAAGGGTGTAAACCACTGAAGTGGCATTTCATTCAGTGGACTAAAGTGATAACCATATACAAAGAAAGACAAACTAGAAAGGGTACAGAACCAAGCCGCAAAATTCTGCACGAACCAACTATGAGAGAGGTGCTGGTGTAATGGAGATGAAAAGAAAACTACAGTGGGGGTCGCTGGAAGACAGACGAAAAATGTACGTCCAGACTATGCATGATGTACAAAATGAGTAACAAACTGGTGGACGTACGAAGCACTAAGTATCTGATACCAGCCCAGAAAAGAACGGGAAATGGCCATGTCTTAAATATCAGAGTTATCAACCGAGAATTTACGTGTCCAAAAATTCGTATTTTCTAAGAACTATCGTAGACTGGAACTCGTTGCCACCAAGCACAGTTGGGGCAACATCACTAGAAAGCTTTAAACAACTCCTGCAATTAAACGTGCAAGGATTGAGTGTAACAAGTCGCTCGGTTTAATATAGCTAGCTAGCCGCCGCGCCTCGTGCCTGCGAAGCTGGTGTGTTACGCCGAAGGGCGGTTATACCGGACATACCTATACAGATGATAAAATGAGTAAGCCATTTCTTTTATTCTTTCCTTATTATTCCGTGGATGGGATTTAAAGTCGTAAGAGAGCACCACAAAATGTATTGCGTCGATCCCTATAGGTGAGAGGGCACACAACTATATCAACCATATCGTTTACGGTGTCAAATGATGCACCCATGGAGTTTTTCCTCGTTGCATCTACTAACTCAGATCCTTTATACCATGCCCCTACCATTCATAACGTTACACAAAGGGAGTGCCGCCAACGAAATGTCGCAGTGCACTTTGAAGTCGTAATTTGAGCGTGAAGTTTGATGGGGGTCAAGCTTCAGACTTTGAAAGTGGCAGCCGGTCATTTTTTCTGTCATGCGATGAATTCGAAGTTTGAATTGGAAGTTCCTCAGTTTCCTCATTTCCCACAAGCCCGACTAGGCTGTTTGCTTCAACTAAGAAAAAATCATATCAAGCATATAGTATTACGTAAATCGTGATCCTGATTAATTTTTCTGCGTTTTTTTTTCGCTTTGATGTATTGAATATCATACTTTTCGTTCCCGTACACTGCCCGGCCGGACCCCGGGCGGGAAATATAGTATTTATAGTAGCATTAACAGTAGCATTATCAGGACTTTATTTCATGCTTGGCATAAAATTCGCCCTTACAATATACACTCAGCAATGTTACTCCCAGTTCTCCTCCTTTTAATTAGCCATTTGAGAGACGCTTTCCACCCAACTTCTCCACAACAAAGAAGCGAATCGCTGTCGTGTATCTGATTTAGTTGTGTTCACTAGGTAGAACAACCTTTTGGATAATTGAGCACCAGTACCGCCTGCATCAGTAAAAATAAGCGCTTTGATTCTGATTCTGATTTGATTTCAGCATCCAGTTTTATAGACTTACTTTTGAGAATGAAGTGTAGGGTTTACTTTCAAGCTCTGCTACGCTTTGTTCCACAAGTCTGTTGACTGATTGCTTCTAGTTCAAGGTCCAAAGTCAAAACCTGGGATGATAAATCATGTCCCTGTGTTTGACGTGAATGTCTGTGACATTGCTCAACCGTGGCATTGACTAGCATTTGTTCAAGGAGTTATTCAACCATTGCCTTGAAGTAACATCTTCGTATATCTAAAGGATAAGCCGCCGTTCCTCGTCGTATCGACCAGCAACATAGTAGAGTTGCACTTTTCAAAACTTCTAGTGAAAGTCTATATTGGAGATTGGTGTACTTTTGTAATTGCTCAAAAGACAGTAGAGAAAGCATTGGACCTTGAGTGTCATTTGATGTCTGTATCTTGAGGTTGTACTATGTAGGACGGTAGAGTATCCATCCTCATCATGAGTCGGCTGCGGAGCATGCATAGTTGTGTTCACCAGGTAGAACAACTCTTTGGATAATTGCCTGCATCAGTAAAAATGGCGTACTTTCAAGCTCTGCTTCGCTCTGATCCACAAGTCCGTTGACTGATTGCTTCTAGTTCAATGTCCAAAGTGAAAACCTGGGATGATAAATCATGTTCCTGTGTTTGATGTGAATGTCTGTGACATTGCACAACCGTGGCATTGACTAGCATTGGGTCAAGGAGTTATTCAACCATTGCCTTGAAGTAACATCTTCGTATATCTAAAGGATAAGCCGCCATTCCTCGTCGTATCGACCAGTAACATGGTAGAGTTGCACTTTTTTAAAACTTCTGGTGAAAGTCCATATTGGAGATTGGTGTACTTTTGTAATTGCTCAAAAGACAGTAGAGAAAGCATTGGACCTTGAGTGTCATTTGATGCCTGCATCTTGAGGTTGGGCTATGTAGGACGGTGGAGTATCCATCCTCATCATGAGTCCATGTAGAGATTGGTGTAAGTCCATATTAGAGATTTGTGTACTTTTGTAATTGCTCAAAAGACAGTAGAGAAAGCATTGGACCTTGAGTGTCATTTGCATGCATCTTGAGGTTGTACTATGTAGGACGGTGGAGTATCCATCCTCATTATCATGTCGGTTGCGGAGCATGCACATGCATCGTTATCCATACAGATATTCTTCTGGTCTCTGACCAGATCTTCCATGGGCAAATATGTAACGACTGCTGGTCGATCCTAAGAACCAAGCAGATCCTATGGTAAAGAGGATGTAGGATTGACCGGCAGTTACGACTTTGCCACTGAAAGATCTTTTATAGACCAGAATAGTAGATGACGTTTTGCGAATCATATTTTCTGTACAAAATTGCATATATGAAAGCACCCGATGTACATTTTCACCTAATTATCTCTCCAGATTTCTAATGTCAAAAGCAGCACTTTCGAGCTGTGTACAGTACTTTTGTAATTGCTCAAAAGACAGTTGCACTGTGTAGGACGGTGGAGTATCCATCCTCATCATGAGTCGGCTGCGGAGCATGCATCGTTACCTATACAGATATTCTTCTGGTCTCTGAGTACATCTTCCGGTGGCAAATATGTAACTACTGTCGGTCGATACTAATAACCAAGCAGATCCCTCGATGAAGAGGATGTAACCAGTGGCAAGTGTGTATATAGGTCCCAAAAGGCTGGCCGAGAGACAACAAGAGATGCAGAGTAACCTGCCTCACTGGGTCAGTCTACAGAGGAAGACCAGAGTGACTGGTCGAAAGCTCTAGCTGACAGAATTTTTTTGTGTCGGATCTAAATTTCTAACTCTAAACAAGAGATGCAGAGTCTATCTGTTATCCGGGTGCCAATGGGAAAGTAAGATGTAATATTTCACAGAGCTATAAGATCTCTGATTAGATGAGATGACATCAGTCCCATTTCTTTCATCTCGTGGTTGCCGAAGTTACGGCCAGAGACGCACGGGAAAACATCGATCTGTGATCCGCTAATAGTCAGCAGCGTACGGCAAGGTCACCAATGTCAGCTGATTGATATACTCAGCTGGTTGTACTTTGGTAAAGATATT